TCAGTTAAATGGAAGTTTTTTTAGCTTTTGCCTTTAGTAATTGCTCTGTTATGCACACCTTATTGTTTCAACTCTTTTATGTCAGCATTAATGTTCACACGCCAAGAAAATAATAGAGATACTCAGCTATAGCCGAGTAGGTTGTAGAGGAGGGACTTAAGGAAAAATAATCTTAATACTGAGATTTAGTAAGGATTACACTCGAGCAAAATATTTTCTTTTTGAGTTGCTTAAAATTATTTTGTGACGTGGTTAATATTTTTTTTAAATCTTTATGAAAATAATGTTCAAACTTAATAGAACAATAAAGATTGATTTGTAACAATTTTTTTTAATGAATTTTCATTAGTTAAAAGAACTTTTAAAAAAATTTTTCTACCCGACATAAATAAAAACAATGAAAAATGACATAGATTAGAAAGTCAATGATCTAAAAATCTTACATATTTAATGTTTTGAGATAATAATAAATATGTTGTCAATATTACTCGCACATTATTTTGTAAAAGATCTCAATTTTAGGAAAAGCAAACGCCACCTCTATATTTTTATGTCAATTACCTTTAATTTTTCTTTTCTAACTCTATAATCACTTGATAGTAAATCACAGAATCATTGGTTTGTAAACGCCAAATTTAAAGTAAATTCGTGAGTAGGTTACTAGTGTAATGAACATTATCAGAATTTAAATTTTGAGAAGTTTTTGAGCTGGCAATTTTATTGAAAAAAACCTAGATAAATTGAAGTTTTTTTTTTTTTTAGCTTTTTTTTAGTAATTGCTCTGTTATGTACAAATTATTTTTTCCTCTTTTTTATATCAGCTTTAATGTTCACTCCCATCTTTCGCCCGGAAAATAATAGAGATACTCAGTTATATCCGAATAGGTTGTAGAGGAGGGACTTAAGGAAAAATAATCTTAATGCTGAGATTTAGTAAGGATCACACTGGAGCAAAATATTTTTTTCGAAGAGCTTAAAATTATTTTGTGACGGGGTTAATATTTTTTTTTCTTCATATTCTTGAAGATAATGTTCAAACTTGTTAAAACAATGAAGATTTATTTCTAGCAAAATTTTTGATGAATTTTCATTCGGTGGACATAAATTAAAGCAATGAGAAAATAATTTATTAACTATTCAGAGAAAAAAACATCTTAAATATTTAATGTTTTAAAATGATAATTAATATGCTGTCAAAATTCATAAGTTATTAATTACCTTTCACTATTTTAGGAAAAACTAACGCCAACTTCATTTTTTGATGCCTTGCTATATGTATTGATATTTTTTAATTCTAGGGCCTTTAAAGTAATTTTTCTACGTAGGTTACTAGTGTCACAAATATTATCAGAACTTTAATTTTTTTCTGCATATTGTAATTTTTGTAAAAAAAGTGATTTTAAAGCTTTTTTTTTTTAGGTTTTGCCTTTAGTGATTGCTCGGTTATATACACATCAAAATTTCGACTATTTTTCGCTCATTCGAATATCAGGATATTCGCTCATGCGTTTTGTCAAATAAACAATAAAGATTATCAGTTGTAGCTGAGTAGGAGAGAGAGGAGAAATGAAAAGAAAGTATGCTCTTAAAGTTGAGATTATATACAACAGGATATATTTTTTTCAGATTGCTTAACATCATTTTTGTGCTGTGGTTAATACATTTTTTTCATAAAAACATTGTTTTCCACTTACACTTCAAACTGCATATAACAACGAAGAGGAATTTATAACAAACTTTTAAAGAATTTTTATTAATTGAAAGAATTTCAAAAAACATTTTTTTTGGTGGTCTCAAAAGAAAAATGACTAACTATTTAGTGCTAGAAAATATTACATATTTATTATTTTGAAATTATAATAAAAATGTAATTCTGAAAACATCTTCTTGGTGCAATTATACGAATATTTGATTCAAATCTAAAATTAGTTTTGCTCCTAAAGTTGAAGTGTTTTTATATTTTTTGTCGCAATTCGCATATTTAAAAACATTATGTATTACTCGTAATTTTTGCGACAAACTAGAGAAACAAAGACACATCATCAAGATTAAAATTGCATAAGAACCCATGCCTTGAAATGGCGCTATATGCGGATAGGGGAGCTTCCCTATTATGACTATTTAGAAGTTTACTAAGAAAAATTTTATAATAGATAAGTACCTCCAGTGGAGTATGAGGACATTTGGAGGCAGGAGTTCTTGTGCAATTTTAAAACCCTAATGATATGCCATAACTACCTTAGAAGTTTGTGGCAGCATTTATGCGACCCCCAGTTATATCTAGCGTTTTTAAATTTGTAAACTTCGATTGAAAAATGAACTAAAACGTCCTTTTAAAAATATTGCAGCTTCGACAGAGAAACCGATTGGGTATTTGAAATCAGTGAAGCGAAAAAATGTAAGATCCGATAAAAAATATCCCCTATAACAGATAATAAATAAAAGATGTAAATAATATCCCCCAGTGTAAATAATGTGTAAATTAATTATCTCAATTTCAGCATTTCTCTAAATGTAAAAAACCGTATGCCGCTTCCATTTTAGAGGATATTCTTAATAGTTTTCAAAATATTATATTTATGAAAAATTCTATATTAGAGTTTTGCACAGAACTACGCAAAAAATAGGGCTATACGCTTTTCTTATTCCAATTATAATTAAAATTCGACGGGTGTCAAACTGAAAGTGAAAAAAAAACAGACACTTCCTTGGTAACACGTTTATTGTCAGAATTTAAATTTTGACAAATTTTCAGCTTAAGATATTAGCTTTTGAAAATTTTCAGAGGTTTAAATTGCTTTTAGAATTTAATTTTTACTATTTCTTTGGTCGAATTCCCATTAGTATTTTTCGTGACTTGAGCTCCTGATGCATTTTTATTACACTTGTTCAGTTTTAAATCAGGATTAATATTTATTCGTATCTTTCTTCCAGAATAACTGAGAGGGCGGGAAGAGAGAAATTTAGGGAAGAACGTTTTTAATGCTGCAAATTCGGAAAGGATCGCGCAGAAGCTTGATATTTCTTTCGAATTGCTTCAAATTATTTTGTGAAAATATTGAGATTTTTTTTATGAAGTTTTTGTTTTCCAATAATATATCAAACTAGATAGAAACGAGTATGATATCTTATAGACTTTTATTAAGTCTTTTTTACTACTTGAAAATTTAAAAAAAAATATGAAAAATGATTTCTAATATTTTTATAATTTTTTACTAGTTGAATGAATTTCAAAGTAATTTTTTTTCTGGTGGAATATGATAAGGAATCCCAATTAAATAATCAGTGTTATAAAAAATTGCGTACTTATTACCGTAAAATGATAATCAATAATTAGTCAAAATAAATTTATTTTTATATATTTAAGAAAAAAAAAATACAAAACTATTTTTGATGTTTTTCTCTTTTTATTGCAGACAAATACTTCACTTCACTTAATTATTATTAACTTAACCTCATTATTCACTTAACTAAATTATTTAGTATTTAATTTTTAAAGAAAAATGTACCATAATATAATAATAAGTATGCACGTGGAATTATATGATTAACACTCGGTGGATAGTTAATGTCAATTATTAAGTAAAAATTTGCTGTTTACGAGTCCCGCTGCAACGGTTTCAAGTTTGAGTAGTGCATTTGAGTAAGACATGACAGTTTTAAGTTTTATCAAAAGCAAAGCAGTTTCACCCCGAATACTATTTTAACTTAATACTTTAGACTCTATAGTCCCGTAGCGGGTTGATCATAAAGGCACTGTTCTCAGTAGAACGCCGAAGGCTGTGGTCAGTAAGCAGGTTTGTGACCAGTTTGATCAGCCTGCGTAGAGACCAAGGGTGCGCGGTATCGGTCCTCGTTAAACTTTATTACTGTAAAGTGCTCGATTTCACACGCAGTCATCGGGGTACCAAAGCGGGGAGCCATCCCCTACAGAGGATCAAAATTGCGATGGTACGTCTCTCATACCGTAGCAAATAGCCTATAGTACCGCTCTAGTGTGACTTGTATGAAGTACCTACCTACCGACATAATAAAAATGTATTCTTTTTTTTGGAAGTGTGCATCAATTCTTATTTTCCTACATTTTTTTCTTTGCAACTTTATTTCTTTAATTTAAAACACTGAGCATATAATTCTCTAATCATAAAAATTACCACATTGTGTAATGATAGTTCTAGCAAACAAAAACGAAAACTTTACTTAGGTTATTAAAACCAAAGTAGATACAAACCATTCATTTAGTAATTTTTTCGTTCTTATGGAAACGTTTTTCCAGATTTACTGGAATTAAAAACTATAGTTTTTATTGCCAGAGAGGAGAGAGAAATAAAAAACTAATAAATTATGTTTCACAGAATAAATTATTTTCATGCCATGCTCTAACAAACTTAACAAACATTTTACAATATTTGCAGAATTTTATTTATAATCTTATTTTTTTTAAATTTAATTTTAATTTTTTTTTGGTTATAAAACCGCATTTTATTGCTAGTTTCGCCAAAATCATTACCAAAGCGTTTCGGTAAAAGTTGCCAAGCTTTTTGATGATAACCTTGAGCCAGAAACACGGCAAGTTTTACTATATTCCGGTAGTTTTGACTATACTTATTTTCTCAGTGCTCATTTTTTACATTTTACATTTTTAAAATGTTTATTTTCTCTTAAAGTGTCAGTTAATGCTGAAACATAAGTTAAGTTATGTTTTGTAACCCTTAGGGTGCATTAGGTTAAGCTATGACAATAATTTTATAAGAATTCTTTTTTTGGACTACCATAAAATCAGGCTACTTATCAAATTTTTGCAAAAGAAATTCGAGCTAATGACAATTTCTTAGACAGTGTAATACAGAAGACATTTATAGCTTTCTTTTAAGACGCTTTCTTTTAAGAACTTTCAGTGATATGAAAGGTAAGATAATTGGAAAACATGTTCCCAAAGCTGTTCCAGCTTGTATTAGCTCCATATAAAACTTTAAACAAATAATGTAATTAGCACTTACTGTTTTGTCGCCAAGGTTGTTAACTACACAATGTAGGTATACTGTTTGCCCCAGTTGCGTCGTCATGTTTTTCGGAGAAGTATTATCAAAGGATGGAGTCACGTGACTCAATAATGTCCAATAGTCACTGACTCTTGCAGGAGGTGCAAATCCTTTCGGTTTGTCTGAAGTGAATAATTGCCTGCTATGCCGTAGATATACATCGCTTCCAAATTCATTTGATACAGAGGCTAAAAGTAAAAAATAAAAAAAATGTAAATATCTTATAAAATTTATGCAGTAACAGGTTCAGGAAAATTTAACATCACTATATTTTGCAAATCTTGAAATTCGACAGTCTCGAATATCTTGGGCTTAAAACCTGTTATAAATACAGAAACTACACTGTAAAATTGGATTTTTTTGAAACTGAGAACAAATGTGTTGAAATAGCTCCGAAACAAATATATTCAAATTTGAAAACTCTTGTTATCTTTATTCCGTATCTTAAAATGTGTAGAAATGTCTCAAAAATGGCACATCATGACAAAATTACGTATCATCTTCTGATAACGTTCAAACTTTATCAGATTATAACGATTAATCAATCAGTAGTATTAATAACGATTAATTTATCAGTAGTATTCAACGATTAATTATCAGTAACGATTAATTTATCAGTATAACGATTAATTTATCAGTAGTATTCAAAAACAAAATCTAACTTTGAAACATTTTACTGCACTTACCTTTATTCCAAATTTATTTCACAAATAAAGTATGCCTTCAGATATGTCATCAATACTTTCTTACTTTGCCGCCATGTTTATTTACTTATGAAGACGGATTTGTGACAGCCATGATGATTTCGAGCATGTCTCTATACTCAGTAATGAGTACTTGGGATTTTTCAAATTCGACTATATTTGTTTACTAAATTGGTGAATTTTCGCTCAATTTTGAGAAACCTTGCATTAAAATATAGCAGCAGTTGACTTGATATAAAAACACTACAATTCGTTTTCATTTATAATATTAGACGAGTCAATATAAACTGATAATCGATCGGTCTAGCCTGTATTATGCTATGTACAGTGCGAAAAAAAAGCATTGAAAAACATTCAGGAAACGGTCTTAAGAGTTGTTGCTGAAATTTTAAAGCTGAGTACAGATGTCCGTGCTGGGAAAAAAAAACAAAAAAAAAACGGAAAATCTTGAATAACTTTTGATTTAATGATTGGATCTTTACGTTCTGGGATTCAAACTTAGTGGCTCAAGAGGGTGACCTCAAATATGCTAATTAATTAGAGCAGGCGATATTCTAAGATATGGAAGTTGACACAAAACCTGCTTTTTCTGAATAAACATGCCTTTTTTCCGACGGAACCGGATTTGTGACCCACAAAATGTAGGCTATAGCAGCAATCTGGGAGATATGGTCCCAATAGTTTGGTCAGAAGAGCTCTCGAAACTTTGGACCCCTTAATGTTAATTTCATTTTTTGCGTAATTTAGTATATCTCGAGAACTTTTTAAGCGAACTGAAAAATTTTTGCACGCAATTATAAAATTCGTTTATTTCATGTAAAAAAAATTCCATGCAAAAATTATATTTGGTAAATATTTATTAGTTTTTAGTATTTTATATAAGAATGATCGAAAAAAATTTAAATTGCAAGATATACAATTTCTAGCATGATTTTCAAGAGTATAATTTTAAATGATAAAATACAAATTTCGAGAAAAATCGGTTGAATAGTTCCTGAGAAATCGAATTTCGAAAAGTCAGATATTTAAAGTACGATTTCTCAGGAACTATTTCGGGAACCGATTTAGCTTAAATTCTGCATTTTGCCAAATAAAATTACATATTATGAAATTATGTAAAAAAATTGTACACCTTACAATTCCAAATTTTTTCGACTATTATTTAATAAAATAATAAAAAATAGTAAATATGAACTAATATGTATTTTTTGCATGGAATTGTCTTAGGACAAACGAATTTTATAACTGTGTGCAAAATTTTTTCAATTCATTAAAAAAGTTCTTGAGACATGGCGGAGAACGTGAGAACACCTTCAAACATGAAGATCCGATCATCAGATCAAAAGTTATTCAAGGTGGTCCGTTTTATTTTGACGCATTGTACTCCGTGGACTCATTTGCGAAATATTAAGCTTTAACGCTTGTCTGTTTCATAGCGGATTATCCAACATTTAATCACAAAATACAGAAAACAATTACGATCACTGTATCAAAAAAAGAAGTATTACATGTTTATTTAGTAAAAAAAATATTAATTCTCTACAATTAAATTATTAAAAAAAAATAATAAATTCATTATAAAAAACCAAAACACTGTTATTGTCTGAAAAAAATAATCCTTCTAAGTCCCATGTTTAAATTTTAAGTTTGTGTATTATATCAAATTAAATGCTACAACGTTTACGATACGGGGTATACCAATCACAAATGTAATACAATATGGAGAATAAGAATAAAGTCTGCGTGCGGCCGGCATTTTGGTACCTTATTGCTGCTAGATATATAAGTATGCTAGCGAATTATTTCTAAAATAAATAAAGCTTAAAAATGTATTGGAATGCCATAAACAAAGTATGAAAAGAAAAGTAATCGCAAAACCATTTTTATTCCCACGTGCCTAGAATTTTTTTTCAAAATAGAGTTTTTGCGTGCATTTTATCATAACGTAGTTTTGCAATATAGTCTACAGGAAACATAATGGCTAAAATTATCCAACGTTTTTCGGATATTGTGCATAACATTTTCTCAATCAATTCCAGCTTACTGTTTTCTAAGTAGGTAAATGGACTTTGGAAAACATGATGTTTATTTTAAAATACTCAGAATATGCTGTATTGTAAAATTAAATAGAAAGTTCATGTCTTCAAGATTTTTAAAATTTTTTCGATATCTACATACCCACACAACAACAAATATCTATCTATATCTATCTATCTATCTATCTATCTATCTATCTATATATATATCTATCTATCTATCTATCTATCTATCTATCTATCTATCTATCTATCTATCTATCTATCTATCTATCTATCTATCTATCTATCTATCTATCTATCTATCTATCTATCTATCTATCTATCTATCTATCTATCTATCTATCTATCTATCTATCTATCTATCTATCTATCTNGTGTGTGTGTGTGTGTGTGGGTGTGTGTGTATATATATATACACACACACCGAAGAGCCATTACATTATGACATTATGATCTCCCTGCTAATAACATGTAGGACCACCGTTATCCCTCAAAACTGCTAGCACCCGCCGTGGTATTGATTCCACAAGGTAGTCTGAGGTATCTGGTGCCAAGCGCTCACCAACTTGTCCTGCAATTCCCTCACATTGCGAGGGGGTAACATGGCAGCACGAATTTGTTTTTCCAAGCAGGACCACAAATGCTCTATTGGATTAAGGTCAGGTGAATTTTGGGGCCAAGACATGACTTGAAAGTCACTGGAATGTTCCTCGACGATTCGACGCTTCTGACATCTTGTATTATCCTGTTGGTAAACACCATCCCCCGCAGTAAAAATTGTTGCCATGACAGGGTGAACCTGGTCTGCAACTATATTCAAGTAGCTTACAGACGTCAGGGATTGTTCTATGAGGATTATGGGTCCTAATGTGCCCCTTGAAAACACATTGTTCCTGGGCGAGAAACCATGAAAACCTGGGCGAACCCATCGTTATAGATGAAGGGTGGTCATAATGTAATGAAAGGCTCATTGGTGAATATATATATATATTCCAAGATATGAATATATATATATATATATATATATATTTTAGTCGAGACGANTATATATATATATCGAGAGGAATAAGTGGCTTTGATTTAAAGAATAAGCCGTAGTAGAAAAACAATTAGCACAGGGATACAGAATGTGATATAAAAAAGGAATTTTTCTCTTTAACGATAAATAATGCTAAACTTATGTCATTATATCAGTTCAACCTAAAGCAGTTTCCATTTCTCTTGAATTAAGTCTTTTTTTCTAATGTCGATATGAATGTTAAAATTTATATCCGGTAACATCTAATCTCGCTCTTCCTTTCTCTCATTTACGTTCAACTTGGAATCATCTTAATCTCTTTTATGTTAACGACGTCAGCTTAAGTACTAGCTTATAAAATTAAGTTCTCAAAAGAAATGAATAACGAGATAATAAAAGAAAAGGATAAATAGTCGTTAAAGAGATAAAAGTGAGAAAAAATCTCTAAAAATAGTGTTTAAAAAAGCATTCTCTTGAGAAAGAAAAACTCGATATAATTTTACATAATTATAGCAAATTTTAAAAAAATTAATTTACAATATTTACTGTAATTATTATAGTAAATATTATAATTATAGTAGATGTAATTATTATAGTAGATTTATAAATAGAAATAGCCCTCTCAGCCCACCAAATTTCAACACTATAGTCACCTTGCAATGCAGCTGACAAAAATTTGGCACTTGAACTATTTATCAAGTGTTGAATTTTCATTTCATTGCACTGCCCGTAAAGTTATCTACACTTCTTGCTGTCTAACGCAGTCTTATAGTATATGCACTGCCAAACAAAATGTAATGAAAAATTAAACACCCAAAACTATGGCAGCATTGTCGCTAGTAATTTTCTAATCGAGAGTAACCATTCGAGTTAAATACGCTAACAAGTTATTAATGTTATTGAACAATACGTAATCTTTATCAATGAATCAAATCTGTTATTAAATCACATACTGGAAAGGGAAAAGAACAGAATCTTAATGAAGTGTACAGAATGCTATGACTATTCAACAGAACAAATTGATAACTACAGTATGAGTACGTCACCTGACGCATTCACAACCTTTGTCAATCTAACTTCTCCTTTTCAATGTCTCTCCAAAATGGATTATGTGCATGTGAGAAAACTACATGTCGGTAACAATTCTGATCTACTAACTGACCATTGAGTCAAGACGATATCCAAAGTTTTGTTAGGATACAGAAGAAAATAAATGAGTGAACCAATTTGCTTTATTGTGCCAAAATGTCGATGCATTATGGAATTAATAATGCATTGAATGAAATAATATAAATCATCACAACATAAGTAATAAATCATTATCAAAATGACGCTTATGAATTATTTATTGCTTAAGGCAAATATTCTCTTAATAGTAATATGCGTTAAGTGATAAAATGTTTATCGTAAACGGATATAACCTTAAA